AAAAAAAAAACAACCCTCCAGCTCCATTGTTAGCCTGTCTCTTGTTTCTCATCAGGTCACGCTGAGCGATGGGAGGCCCGTTCCAACTGTTCTCTTGGCCAACAAATGTGACCATCAGAGTCACGGGCTGTGCCCCAAACTGCCCAAACTGGATATCTTTGCCAGAGAGCAAGGCTTCATCGGCTGGTACGAAACCTCCGCCAAGGCAAGAYGCGGGTTTCTTCTGGGTTTTAGCAGCGAATCGTTTATTTTTGTTTCTGTTTGCAGACGTTAAACAGTTTAATGTAGCAAAATCAGACAAAAAGCARTAGAATTTTTGCAATTTTCTTTTGTTTTGTTTTATAAAACTGTAAACTGAACTGACCGTAAGCTCAGAACATTATGTATCAAATCTGGATGACCAAACACTTTTACTTTCCATTTTCTCTGATCTGTTAGTCCCATAACAGAGTACATACATTTAGCCAGTGGTGGGCACAGTTCCCCTAAAGCACTAAAGCACTAATAGGGGAACTAATTTCCTGATTAGTGCTTTAGGGCTTTTACTAATTTTAAAATGTAGCACTTGCTAATTTTATAGGCTRAATTTAGAAGCACTAACTGAGGTCTATAAATGTTATTGATCAWYGTTAATGTTAACAGCTGAGGGTGAAAACWGTCACACATTTTGTTCATATRTGTGTCACTGATCMAYCAGGTGACAATATATGAACWCAAATACAGCTGAGGAATGTCAGTGATAAGATGTAAAAGTGCAACATGTGACTCATGTTGTCTGTTGATGAATGTTCATGTGTTGATTAGGTTATTTTAGTGCTTTAGAAWTAGCTTYTRCTAAAAYTTTCAGTGTTAGTGCTTTAGAATTAGGGGAYCTAAATATTTGAKTTAGTGTTTTAGGGCTAGTGGAACTAATTTTTAGATTAGTGCTGCCCACCACTGCATTTAGCTAAAAGCCATGTCTTTTATTAACATAATGATCATTAATGAGAACAATGGARGGTTTCATAGTCGGAGCTGTGGGTCTTTTGTTGAACTTTTAAAGCAGAATTTAAGAGAGAGTCACAAACTTCCAGAAGAAGGAACTATTATTTCAAAACTTGTAACTACACTGCAAAAAATGTCCACCTAACCAAGTTTTAAAATCTTATATCAGCCAAAAAGTCTTTTTGATCTTGTTT